CTAACTAAACTAGCAACTGCTATCATTATCTTACTTCTCAGTGATGCATGGCCCTTAGAGTATTAGCATTGGGTAATACTGTTCACTTAGAATGAGCCACTTTGACACTGTGGAATGGTCCTTCCTTGAACTTCTAATTTATTCATTCTGAATATTTTCCTTCTGTTTAAATTATGATTTAAAATTTTCTTTAGCGGGAATCTATGGTCACAAATTATCTGGAAAAAAACACCACCCCTCACTATTTAGAGATGATTTCACTGGACATACAGGTATACACGGGCATATGGAAAATGACCATTGAATTGTCTCTTCTGGTTCCACAGATGCTGCTCAGAGCTAGCATCAAGTCATGCTGCCTTTCCTACTTTTAGACTGGAAGGTTTTACCAATCAAGCTGCTCCTGAATTTATTCTATTCTGACTGACATTTGTTAAGGTTCCTGAATCAAGAGCCCACCATCTCTCATCAGTTTAGAAGAGTTATTTGTGCCTTAATATCATTTTTCTTCTACTCTGCTCTCTTAGATTGTTTAGAATTGGAGGCAGTAAGATGGTTCGGTGCAAGCTTCATGACCTGAGCTGTGTCTAGAACCCATGTAAAGACAGTGAGACTTGACCATTCGCAGGAGCGTGCGCGCAAACACACACACACACACACACACACACACACACACACACACACACACCACAAAACCAGGAATTTTCCCATGAAACATCACCCTGCTTCACAAGTTCTCAGCATTTTCCAATCCTGTTTTGTCATTCTTTCCAAGTATGACTCCTGCTCCCCAGTTTTCTTCTAGAACATTTCAGAGCAAATTCCAGAATCCTATCATTTCAATAGTAAATAATGTACTTCTCAGAGATAAGTATTTCTTCATTTTTGTCAAGCTAGACATTTGTTGAATGAAATCCATTCAACTCTCCTGGAGGAATTCTCCCATTCTAATTATGTATTTCTCCACTCACCAATATTTCTAGCAAACTAGCAGTTAGCTATCCCAACCAGTGGCTTGACTAAAACCTAGTTTGACTCTTTGGTGACTTGCAGGTGGTTATGCACTCACTGCCTATTATGAGAGGCTAGAAGAAAGAAAATGAGTGCTTCTCCAATTTTTAATGATTTTCAGACTGATGATGTTGGTTGCTTACTGGCATGCAAACACATTGGTATGTTTTAAATTTTCAGCCTGATAGGTTTAACAGTCATGCTAATTAGTGTTAGAGACATTTCATCAGGAATTATGAAGCAGTAAGTTTTCTAAAAAAGTAATTTTTCTATATTTCACAGTCAGAATCCTTGTATCTGGGAAAAAACCTCCCTTGGAAACTACTTAATTATCTTGAAATATAGTTAGCAAAAGAAAGTCAAGATAAATAGCTTCTTCTTTTCCTTTATTTATTTAATATGGTAAGTAAGCTAAGGTCCTATTAACCACCAAAGGCAATTTTTATACTACCATAAATTCATGAATTTTGATATATTTGATATTTTAAATCCTTTCAGATACTTACTTTTAGTTCTGTAAATATGCCTCCTTGTTTTCAAAACTTAATGTTATAAAAGTTATTAAACAGTTTTCTTTATAGTAATATGCACACACTTGAAAGTCAAGTACATGATTCAATCTAGGTTGAACTCTCAACCTACTCAAGCCTTTCTCCAGGAAGACCATATAAATTCTGTTTCTTTGATCAATTGTTTTCCTACCTGTTGTCAAATGTGTAATGCCTACAAAAAGAATTAATGTCCTGATTCTACCTTGATCTTTTAAATTTTTCCTTCTAAAATTTCAATATCATTTTTCACCTCAAATTCTAAGGAAAAGTTCTCAAGTTTGATGTGTACATCACTGACAGCAGTAATATAAAGGCAGAATGTCTGTCGAGTGGGGGAATATCACACGTACTCAGAAGCTATTCTACCCAAGCTACAACTATATCATCTCTTCAGGTACATCATTAGCTGTCTACAACTTTAAGGATGTTTCTTTGCATCTATGAACTCTTTCTATTCTTAAATTGTTATATTTTTCACAAATTAAGAACAAACTTTCAGAAAAGTTATTATATAATAAAGACCCTTTTATCCTTTATCTAGATTCAAACAAAATTAATATTTTAACGTAGATCATTACTTCTTGGGATGCCTGCCTTTTTCATTTATTAATGCTCTCATCAATCAAATCACCCTAAAAATAATTACAATTTTTATTTTTGGTTTTCTTTTGTTCTGTATCATTTGCCTCATATGTTCCCACTATGTAGCTAACAAATGGTCAAGTGAATGCTACTTATGAGTGTTGGCAGGAATACTTTAGAGTGCATTACTGTTGATAACTAAACAAAGATTGGTCCCCATTTTAAAACCGTTTTCTTTGTGAAACTGAATCACTCAGTCATATGTCCTTACAGGACAGTAAGAATGAATGTCTCTTTAAGCATGAAGTATGTACTACCAACTTTTATGAACACTGTTTAGTGTGTCCACCTGTCATGTATGTACTTTTATGATCATCAAGGGTTTCTTCACCTTAGATTTTCCCTCTATTTCCTTGTTTGCCTGGCCCAAGGAGGGGCCTCTGCACTCTGTAATGGATCTTTTGCTTGGCGTGCTTGTTATACTGCAGGGTAATTTATCTGTGTTGGAGTTGGAAAGAGCCATGTCATCATTTGTGTAATCCCACACAAGTGCACCAGAAACAGCCCTCTTACTCCTGCAGTAAACAATGAGCTAATCAATGCCTTTCATATTCATCACCAATAGTGCACCCTAAAGTTGTCCTATCAACAGAATTAGTGCTATCTGCCGTTTCTCGTTAACTTTAATCTTTATCAGGCTCTTAGTAAATAGGTCGTAGTTGTCATTTAGCGCTGACACCTGTAAGGAATGAATTTACCTTATTCATATGCTTTTCATGTCAAGGACATTTTTGTATATAAAGAAAAAATAGTAATTCAATCTTCACTAGCCAGGAAACTATAAATATCTTAATTTGGTTCCTTTATTAGATCTAAAAGGACAACTTTGCACATTTTAAAATTGTTTTAAAAGACAGTATTTCTTTCTCTTGGAGCTTCTTTACAAAATTAGCACTTTTATCTTTGCACTGAACTCTGAAAAAAATCAGAGGAAAACAGACGTTCTTGACACGAGGTTGTAGGCTCTTTGAGCTTACAGGGTGTGCTAGTGCTGAGGAACAACAGGAACAACTGTCATACGTTCTAACTGGAGCTGGACATGGTGGCACCTGCATATAACCTAGCAATCAGGAGGCTGAAGCAGGAAGACCATGAGTTCAAAGACAGGCTGAGCTGAACTGTTGAGACCCTAAGCCAAAACATTAAATGTAATCAAACAAGACCCAGATGTGTACTACTCATGCTCCAGGACTTGAAGGCAGGTAGGGTAAGCAGGGTACCGGAGTGTGGGATTACAAGAGGCAGTTACAGATCCAGATGCAGAGGCCAAGTCCATACTTGCAGTATCTAACAGGAAGTGTTTTTGAGTTCTGTACCTTATCTTGTTCCTCTGAGCCACACAGTATTTATGCCCAAATACGAGTTAAAACTGATATCCATCCCTATGTGCCAGGGAGGTTTGGAGTGATGTCTCTAGATTTTTTCATTAATACAACTATGGTCTGAAAATTAACAGATCTTTCAACTTTAATAATGTCGGTTTATCTGAATTTTTAGAGGCTCTCATGTAGCTCAGGCTGGCTTCAAACTCACTAGTATCTACAAATGGTCTTGATTTCCTCATCTTCTACCTTTACCTCCTCAGTGACAAAACCACAGACAGACATGCATCTCCACTTATAGGTTTATAGGTTTATTCTTGTTCTTCTGTTTTGTTTTGAGTATGTGTGTGTGTGTGTGTGTTTGTGTTGGGGGAAGGTAACATTATTTGCCCTGTGCATATGTTCAAGGCAAATCCAAGGCAAAAGAACAGGTAGCACACACATGTATCCATGAGTGGCACTGAGGTAGGACACCCCAGTGAGTCTTAAAGCCAGATACCTCAAATGATGTATGGTCCCACACATCAGTCAGTAGAAATGCCAAGTTCTCATCTTGTCTACTGGTACCTTACCTTTGACCTGAGATGATCATGGCTATCTTGTTTTTCACATAACAATCTATGATAATGAGGTAATATGAACAATCAAACACTCATGGCCAAAAGTTATCTAAGAATGCTTGCCAAACTAACTTTTTGACCTTACACATGAAAGATTTATTCCTAACCAAACTGTTTTATATATTATTCCAATAATGCTTTACTTTTCCAAGAAGTTAATATACATTAAAATTTCTTTAAAAGAGATTGTAAACCCCAAATTTTAATATAAAAAATAGCAATATTGAAATTCCATACACTTTTTGATTGCTTTCCAGAGAGTATTATGTACTGCTGGCTGGCTGTTAATTCAGAGATCCCCTTGCCTCCACCTCCAGAATGATGGGATTAAAAGTGTGTTGCTACCATGCTAGGCTAATCTCCTTTTTGTTTTGTTTGGTGACAGAGCTTGACCCATTAGGCCAGGCTGGCTGGCCAGCAAGCCCCAGGCATGCACCTTGTCTCCATCTCTGCAGTGCTGAGATTAAAAATGTGCCACCAAACCCATCTTGTGTACAAACTCAAGTTCTCATGCTTGCACACCAGCGCTTTACTAAGTGAGCATCTTTCTAGTCCCAAATTTTACTTTTAAATCAGTAAAATGGCTTTTTAAAACCATATAACAATGGTTTTCATTAATCAGAATTAAACTGTATAAAAGAGTAAGCATCAATACATGTTTGTTTGCTTTTTAAGTTTCTTTTTTTTTTTTTAGAATTGTATATTGCATTTTTTAAAATTACTTTTATTTTTATACAGTCTAGTAGTTGTTACCCCCATCCGGGTCCTCCCTCCCACAGTTCCTCATTCCATTCGTCCTCCCCTGTCTCCAAGAGGATGTATCAATACATGTTTTTTCTAGTATGAAATCTTACCTTCGGTGAAGTAGAGAGATCTTTCCCAACAGAGACAACTGTGTTTTCATTTACTCCGGTCTTGGGTGCGAAGGCTGGTAGGGCTGGCGGGGCTGGCGGGGCCGGTGGGGCCGGGGCCCTTCTTTTCACTCTCCGTTCAGTTTCCCCTTCTTGAACTGTATTGACCAAATTATTTGGAGAAGTTGGCTTAGGCTCATAAAAAGGATTTGATCTAAATGAAAGAAAAATTATCATTAAATGTCTCTCAAAACTAGTTTATTTCCATATAAAGTAATTAAAAATATTCTGAAAATTGCTTTCTCAAATAAACTGAAACCAACGAAACCTAGAATTTTGAAATAATGACTTTTATCTTCTGATCCATTTTAATCCAGACTTAGAATAAATCTCTCTGTCTTAAAAGTACTGAAAAATAAGATAATGTTCAATTTCAACAACTGTTATGCAGAACCTTAGGAAACTGACATTTAATAATGGAGACTACATCTGTTATTGACATCCAAAAATAGTAACTAGAATAGAAATGAGGTTCTTGCTATTGTTTTATGTTGTGCTTGTTACTGTTTTACACTGTATTTGTTATTATTTTACATTGTACTTGCTACTGTTTTATGCTGTGCTTATTACTGTTTTATATTGTACTTATTGTTTTATACTGTACTTGCTGTTTTACACTATACTTGTTACTGTCTTATGCTGTACTTATTACTATTTTATAATGTACTTGTTACTGTTTCACACTGTACTTGCTACTGTTTTACAGTGTACCTGTTACTGTCTTATTCTGTACTTGTTACTGTTTTACACTGTGCTTTTTACTGTTTTATGCTGTACTTGCTATTGTTTTATGCTGTTCCTGTTATTGTTTTATGCTGTACTTGTTATTGTTTTATGCTGTACTTGTTAATGTTTTACCCTGTACTTGTTACTGTTTTACACTGTACTTGCTATTGTTTTACATTGTACTTGTTACTGTTTTAAGCTGTACTTGTAACTGTCTTATGCTGTACTTGTTACTGTTTTACGCTGTACTTGTTACTGTTTTACATGGTATTTGTTCCTGTCTCAATTGTCACCACTCCACAGTGGCCACTGGCTATTGAGCAGATCTGACACTTCTCATTCATGCACCTCACCCCCCTCCTTCCTTCACAATGAAGTCTGACAACCTATAAGGTTGAGATTGAGACACATGATAAGTTGAAACTAAAGAAGACAGTAATGCAAGAGAAAGATGCTTTACTGTCAAAAGAAATGACTGAACAGCTGAGGCCAGCTAGTCAATCACAAGGAAAAACACCATCAATATCCTCTGCACATTTCACAAGCAACACTGTCTGAGAGAGAGAGGAGAGGGAGAGAGAAGAAAGAGAGAGAGAAGAGAGAGAGACAGACAGAGACAGAGACAGAGACAGAGACAGAAAAACAGACAGACACTGGGATTTTGAAACCTCATATCCCACCACCAGTGATACACCTCTTCTAACACAGCTACAGCTTCTAATCCTTCTCACACACTTCCACTGACTAGGGACCAAGCATTCAAATATAAGCCTATGGAAGCCACTATCACAAATCACAACTCTGTAGGACACAAAGGGGTTGGGTCAGGTTTAAATGGCTGCGCTGCCCTTCTCACATCAAAGCATCAGATCTGCTAACAGAGAAGACCAGTCTTCATCCGCCAGTGTGGCGATCAGGGAAGGGAGAGAAGGCACATGCTGGAGGGAAATGCTGGTGGGATGTGCTTCAATCAAGACAGTCCAACGTGTACCTCAGCTAGTAAAAGGTAGTATGCCCAGAGCCCCATTTTTTGTTGTTGTTCAAATGATCTTAATTACTGTAATTTAAGAGTTTTAATAATTAAAAAAAAGGAGAAAATCAGCTGTTATCCCATGGGCCTGCCTTTGCATGTACCTTCCACTCCCCACCCCCTTTCCTTCTTTCAATCCACTCTCAGTTTTTTAATTATGTCATATTGTGATTATAAGAGGATGTGGAAAGTTTCTTTTCTGGTAGTGTTTATTTCGTGTTCTATTTGCAGAGGCAGTTCTTTTCCTAGATTTTGGGAATTTCTATGATTTTACTGAAACTACTTTTTATATCTTTGGTGTAAAATTATTCTCCTGTGCCGGTAATTCATAAATGTGATCTTTTTATATGTTCCAAATATTGTGTATGTTCTACTGATACATTTTATTAAATTTATCATTGAGCATAGGGGTGCAGAAGAGTTTGTCTATTTTGGTATTCTCTGTATCACTGAACAAAAAAGAATTTTTATCTTTGTACTATACACTTGTTAATGCACTTGCTATATCATTAACTATCTATCCACAAAAATAGTAAATAAGTAAAAAATATATTATAAATTTAAATGGCATTATTTGTTATTATTATTTATTCTTTGGAATTATAGAAAGATGACTAGTGTTGGTTAGCTCCAAAAAGGATAGACTAAAATATACTGAAAATACAAAACAAGGATATAATCAAATTTGTAATCTTGATATCTAGAAAATGTTTCACTGGAAAACAATTTAAATTAATTAAAATGGATGGGTAGCTGAATAAACTGAAGGAGGGGCTTCCTTGAAAAATAAAAACAACAGACATCATACCAGAAACTACAGCATATGGATCTTCAAAAGGTACTTCAGAAATGCTCTAAGCCTTATTAGCTTTCTTCTTGCCACATAAACTGGAAGAGCTGTCAAGCACATAGACACCTGAGAACTCTGGGCAGGTCCTTCATGTAAGGACACAAGCTAAAGAGCAGTGCAGGCACACACCTTCTCCAGGTGCTGACAGATGTGCTGGGGCACTGAAGACTGCTTCACACATCAAAGACTAGGCACTGTTTATTGGTACCTATACAAGTTTAGGTTGCAGGATACACGAAGGACTTGGGGATGGAAGATGAGTCACTGAAGCTTTTACTTGGTAAAAGGTCATAAGTTTATTACTGAGGTAATGATATAAAAATGGAAGTTCTGTGCCGCAGTATCATACCTACAAACTTTTGTAGAGAAAAGATGAGAAATAGCAAGAATTAATTAAATACTACCTAAGTTCTTCTGGGAGTTATACACTAGTGAAAGTGCAATGTTTAGAACTTCAGTTAACATTGTTTTTTGTTTTGTTTTAAAAGACTTTTTTATGGATTTCCATTGTTAACACTAGGTGACTGAGCAATTTAGAACACCTTTAAAAGGCTGACTTGGTCAAAAGGAAACACCTAGTGTTCCGACCTTAGTTTTTACAAAGGCAGTTAAAATGTTTAAGTAAACACTGCTGTCTCCTTAGTTTGTTAATAGGAGACAGCAGGGTGTGTATGCATGTGTTGTGTAATAGTCATGCATCTGGGAATGACTGAATACTTGCACTTAACGTTTGCATTTACACTCAAGTACTCTAGGTGTGTGGCTATTACTCAGCACCTACACCACCCATGAGAAAATTCATTTTGATCAGACATTAACTGTTCAAAGAAAACAAGTAGAATAACTTGAGCCAATGTTTGACTGGGTTTGAAAAAAGATGGTTTTTATGTTGTAACACTAAGTACTTAAGGAAGATACAGCTTTTCTAAAAATGTAGCCATGGGATCATAAAATATAGGTAAGACTCTCCTTCCCAGCCGTGTGTGTGAGTGTGTGTGTGTGTGCGCGCGCGTACCTCTGTGTATATGTGAATGGGTATATGTGCATTTGTGTGCGAACCAGTGTGTACATGTGTGTAAAAATCTATGTGGCCGTGTCTGTACATAGGAGGAAATGGTTTAGAAACATAGTAGGAGAGCATCATTAAAAAATCAGATTCCTATAAATAAAAGATAAAAATATCTATCTGGGTTCCCTGAGGGACAAGACTGACTGCATAGGGGTTGATGTCAAAAGTATCCCCTCTCCCGGAAAAAGACATCGGGACGGGTATGGCCCTCATGCCTCACTGGACAACGACAGGGGGACTGGAGCCATCACAAGGTCCCCTTCAAATACTGGAGGTCAGGCCTCTATCCCCGCCTTCGAAAGTTTAGAATTGCCACAGCCCTTCTATACTTAGAGAAGGGAGGAGATGTTAGGGGCAGCCCTGCTTATACACTGAAGGCCTAAAATCAGCCATAGGCCTAAAATCAGCAGTGGGCCTGTCATACATGTATACTAACACCAAGTCTTGGGTCTCAGTAGAAAAACATTGAAACATGGCTATAAGCTAATGTAAACAGGCAGCTTTTGTGGAAATTTACAAGCCTGAGTAGTCATAGACCTTGTAAATAGGTAGCCTTGGCAGATAATACCAAGTTAGATAAGGACAATCGAGTCATAGGCAGAGTCATAGTGACTTGTCCCCTGAACCTTCACGCAGCAGATACCCGGTTCTGAAGATATCTGTATTCCCCCTGAACACCCACACTCCAGTGTCATTCCCTTCCCCATATCCTGCCTTTCTATGTTTATAACCCTGTGTGAATGAATTATGATTTGAGAAAAAATAAATTATAAAAAAAAAGAAAAAAAGAAAAAAAAAATCCCACATAATGTGTTTATCTATTCTAAATAATGTTCAATCTATTCATCACTCAACAGATTACCTATCACACTAAAAACTACTTCTGTTTGACCACTTTATGTTGTTAGAGTATACTCAATAAAATTCATTTAGAAAAAAAAATTCTCTTAGCCTTTGACTTCCAGAACTTGCACCTGTGACCACAGCATTCCTTGTACCTCTGGACGTGGACTAGCCATGTTATAGGAAATCCCAAAGCTTCTAGCTTGTAGATGGTGTGGGTTTTTTGGACTCCATAATCATGTAGGCCAACTTTTCTCATCAATTAGGTTTCTCACGCCTCTGTCTCCCTCCTCTCCTTCCTCTTCCTTCCCTTTGTTCCTTCCCATCTCTTGAACTCTGATAGGGAACTACATCTGTAGATCATGTGGACAAGAGCCTGACCCAGGCTCCAGTCGTGACCATCTCATTACTCTGTTCTCAGGGGACAGATAGTGATCGTCTTTGTTCTAGTTTATTATTTCTTGTTTGTTCTCTTTTAGATACTTTTATAATTATTATTTTCTTTTTCAGTGCTGGAGCTCAAACCCATGACCTTGCACACATGTTGCTACTGAGTTACAATCTTATTCCCTTTAAATGATATACTTAAATGTTCATTTCTGGTTGTTGTCATTATAAATAAATGTAAACAAAATTTTATATTTATCTTTTATCCTGTAACCATGTTAGTTTAGTTTTCAATTCTGGGACCTTTGTGGAAACTCCTTGTGATTCTTTACACAAACAGTAATGATATCTGTTTAAAAAAAAATGAGATTTATTTCCAAGTCACAGTGTCTGGGAAGTTTATAATGAAAACACCCACATTTTTCCGTCCAGCTTCTACTTGGTGCCACTGTATATGTTAGGAGTTACATGTTATAAAACTAAAAATTTATTATTTAAGATCCAAACAATTTCCTTTTGAAGAAATTACAAAATAAGGTATAAAGTTTATACGTGTGTATATATTAACATGTTGTCCATCTTCAATGCCTTTCCTTCCTTTACAGTCATTCAGACTTCTAATTGATGACTCTTCTTACTGAAGATCTTTCTTTAAGCATCTTATCTTTCAGAGAAAATATGATGCCTACAAATCCTTTCAGCCCTGGGCGGGAAGAGAAATTTGTGTTGACAGGCTCCTGGATTTTAGTTTATTTATTTTTTCAGTAGTTAAAAAAAAAATTACCTCACTGTCTTCTGGTTTGAACTATTTTTCTTACCAGCCAACCACAGCTCCCAGGGTCTAAACCACCAGTCTGGGAGCACTTAGGGAGGGATCCATGGCTTCAGCTGTATATGTAAGAGCGGAGGGCCCTGCTGGGCATAGGTGGAAGAAGAGATCCTTGACCTCATGAAGGCTGGATGCCCCAGGGGGTGGGAGTTTGAGGATGGGGAGGTGGGAGTGGGGGGGTAGATAGGGGTTACATCCACAGAGAAGAAGGAGGAGGGGTGAGGGAATAGGGGGTTCCTGTGTGGGTGGGGGATGGGGTAAGGGGACAATATATGAAATGTAAATAAAACATCCAATAAAAAAAAAAGAATAAAAAAGAAGCCTTTCTCCATATTTCTTGTACCTGGGGCTCATTCAGCTTCTAGGACTTGTAGGGAGAAGTGTGTGTGTGTGTGTGTGTGTGTGTGTGTACACATATATGTGTCTGTACACGTGTTCGTACATGTAAGTATATATAGACACACACACACACACACACACACACATCTGTGTTTCCTTATATTCCTTTCACCCTCTCCTTTTGCTTTCTAAAGTTCCAGTTACATGTTTTGCTAATTGAAGGTATCTAGAAGTTCAGTGGTCCTTACTCTTTTTCTCTCCCCTGTAATCAGAATAATTTCAATGGCTATGTTTTCAGGTTTGCCAGACTTTCTTTTCTGCAGTATCATTTAATGTTACCTCCACCCACTTCACATACATTGTATCTCTCACCCTCTCTTTAGACACATTGTATTTCTTACTCTCCAACATGCACTTTAGACACATTGTATCTCTTACTCTCCTACACACTTTAGACACATTGTATCTCCCCCATCCTACTTTAGAGCATTGAATCTCTTACCACCAACACACACATTAGACACTTTGTATCTCTCATATCTGTAAGTTCAACTTGTATATCCCCCATCACTCATGTTCATGTGTTCCTTCTCAAACTTCTGAAATATATTTTTAATACTTTACTATACTTGTTAATTAGTTCCATTGCCTATCCCATCTCTACATCCATTGCTAATTACTTTATTTTCTTCTTATTAAAGTCAGACTTTCCTGTTTCTTTACTAGCCTGACAAATTTGTTTGTCAGAAAGCATGAAACTGTATCTCATGTCTTATGTTTTGAAAAACCTTTCTCTTTGCTTAGTGGAAAAACATACACTATACTCAATTTCAAAAAATTTTCCACAACTGTTCAGTGTGCTTCTTTATCATAGAAAAATCTACTCACATGTTTGCTCTAATCAGTACTCAACTAAAAAGGCAAGTAGAACCAATCTCTTTTTTCGGCTCAGTTTGCAGATTTTATCACCTTGGTTTGTCAACTCTACAAATCCAAATTATGTGTCCCCAATTGAGGGAGATTATTGTGGACTGTGTGAATTTTTTCTACCCCTAAAAGGCTGGAAAAATTTCTAAATATGAACTTGAAGAACAACACCTTTTTTCTTTCTGTTCTCTTGTGGATTATTATCCCTTGCAGTTTGTGTTCAATGTCTCAAAAGCACCGTTTCAAATATTTTATTCTATTTTTTTAGTTGCTCAAGGCCAGATGCTAAATACAGTCTGAGTTACTGTATTATGACTAAGAGTAAAGTTTAGTTGTTGCTCTTTAAGTGTACTCAAGGCCAAAAGCCATCAGCACGGGGCAACTCCAGATCATGATGTGAACATCTCCCTATTATCTCCACTGCAGACTTGAGCAAGACGGCAGCTCTTGAGCAAGATGGCAGCTCTTGAGCAAGATGGTAGCTCTGATCACATTGTGTTCACACTGAGCTTGTGATAGGCTCTTTTTAGAAATGTTGGGATTGTGCTGTTAAGTGTTTGAACAAATCTGCTGATCAAATCAGTATCATATATAACTCTATGGTTCCCACAACAGAATTGAAGTAAATGCCTACAATTTTCTATCAAAACTATCTAAATACCATTTATAAAAGAGTTTCAATGAGAAAACACAATTGGAATTCCAACTAGATTCTACAGTCTTCCATACTTGGTGTGTCACAGTGGGCAGACATACACTTTCATGAAAAAATAAAGGTTAAAAGTAAAAGGTTTCTGATGACCAGGAGGACTGTTGTAAGATGTTGTCTTCTGCAAACAGCAGGAGTGTTGGTTCCCCCTAACTCTCAACAACATTGTTGCCTGCACAAGAGCATGCCAGGAGACATTACAGCAAGGATGGAGGGCATGGAATGTTCATAAGCCCCACCCCAAACTGAAGAGCTACAGGCAGTCAACTGCAACAAAGGGAGGGAAAGGAGAGGGTTAATTTCCTTCTGACACAAGCCCTAAGAGGTTGTCCAAGCCTAAGTGACCAGCTATAAATTCATGTAGATACAGGCAGCACTAATCAGACCTGGTAAGTTGTTCTGGGTAATTATGAAAGAAACGAACATGAATTTGAGAAGTGAGTGACGGAAAAGGTAGAAATTATATAATACAGCATATTCATGTATGAAATCCTCAAAAAAAAAAAAAAGATAAAACAAAGAAACAGCACCTAACTAAAAAAGTATTCTCAAAAGAAGTTCTAGTAGCAGGGTGAGGTACATACTAAGTTACACAATGCATATAAACATTTTTAACCATCTAGGAATATTTCAGAAGCATTTCCGTAGGTTACTACATAGGCTAAGCTGTGATGATAGCTTAGTGAGTAAAGGTACTTACTCATCTAGCTCCTCTTCACTCTTCGAGCTATCAGCATAGAGGTACTTGCTCATGTCCACGGGCCTTAGGTTTTTTCTCCGTGTAGACTGAGGTGGAGAATCCTTTATCATTACAAAAGTTTCTGGTTCATCAAATGGGTTCAAATACTGTGGAGTCTGTACACCTTTAAAGGGATTACAGCTGTTATTATAAAAAGATTCTTCTGTTTTTTTAGGTGAAGTTGTTTCAGTGATTGGTTCTATAAAACAACAGCAAAAGACAGGTTAAACTAACAGCAAATGATATCCTCTATTTTTAAATGTTTTGAAAAGTAGACAGTCTTGAATTAATGAACTCCAAGGTTGAGAGTATAAAAGCAATAATAAAACATGACTATATTTCATTATAAAATATATCATGAAGAGCTAAGCCACCCTTATTAAGCTCAACAAAATAAAAATTGTAGGATTTTTGCCTCCTTCTTTAGGATGAGGACTCGTGAACGCCACCTCTCTACATTGTTCGTCCTGTGGCAGACTCTAAAAGATTGACTTTATTTTAAATTATGCATGCATGTGTATTTTGTATGTGCATGTGGATTGTGTATGTGCAAGTGCATTTCTGCACTTGAGTTATATCCTCTAAAGCTGAAGTTACAAGTGACTGTGAGCCTCCTGGGATGGGTGCTGAGATGAATGAGGGTCCTCTGTAAGAGCAGTGCATGCTCTAACCTTGGAACAGTAATTAATTTATAAACTACTTAATTTAATGAACTTAAACAAAATGGAGAGTAAAAGAGGAAGATATCTTTTCAGCCCTCCTCATGTGTCTCTTCTCTGAAGTGTCTAATATAGCATGATAGCATATAAACTTTAGACGTTTTAAACTACTTGGGAGTGCAGAATCACTGATTTTTAAAAGAACATAAAAGTGAATATAGTTATCAAAGCACATACTCTGGACTGTATACAACACATACTCACACATCACCGATGGGGAGGGCAGGGAGGGAGTGAAGCCAGGGCCTTGTGCGTTCTATCATTGAGCTATATTATATCCAGTTCTAACCTCAACTTTTTAGAGCCAATAGACTTGAACCTAATTAATAAGAATAGCATAAGGAAATTCAAGTTGAATTGCTGTATTAAAATCATGTAGGTAGGGTAGAGATTTAGCTTAGTGGTAGAGAGCTTGCCTAACAAGCATAAAGTTCTGGGTTCAGTCCTCAGCTCTGAAGAGAAAGCACATGAGAGGGAGAATTAAATCATGATGGTAAGCTCACAAATGTGATATACTAAATTCACTTTTAAAACACTCAAATTTTAATTTGAAAACCAATTTGAACACAGTTTTGATGATTAGGGGTTTTCTAAAGTGGAGCAGGACAAAAATGCAGTATATAAAAAATAATTTAAATTATCCAGACAACTCTAACAATTATTTTAGTAAGAAACAGAAACTCATTATTGAAGTTCTGAAAAGCAACTTGAAGGCTCAGAGGGCCTGAGTCTGGATCCCCAGCATCTTCATGCTGAGTCTGGATCCCCCAAATCCACACAGCAGTTTCAATACATAACTGCTGGGGTGTGCAGGCCAAGGGAGTGGAGATAGGCAGATCTCAGGGACTGTCACTCTAGCCTAATCTGTAAGCTCTAGGTTGCAGAATCTGTTTCAAAAAAATTTAAATAAGCAAAAATTAAAAGAAGATGGCAAGCAACAGTGGAAGGTATCATGGCTGACCTTTGCCCCACAACTGTTACCACTGTTACAACCACAGCAGAGAGAACTGTGATTGCTTCATAAGTAACATGGCAAGCAACTTAATCTAATTATTATTTAAAAAATATCAGGACATATAACATGACTTTCTGCTTCTCAACCCAGAGATTACAGACCTATACCCCCACTGTAAGCTCTAGTTTTTTATGCAGGTGCTGGATATCTTTATCTGCTGAGCCATTGCCCCCAGTCCCTCTTCCTTTAAAAGATTATTTCATGTACGTATTTGATTATTTTCCCTGCATACCTGTATGTCTGACGCCCTTGGGGTCAGGAAAGACTATGAGATCCCTGGAATTGCACTTCCAGGCAGTCACAGGCTGCCGTGTGGCACTGGAAGTGAACTCAAGGCCTCGCAGCAGCAGCAGCAGCAGCAGCAGCAGCAGCAGCAGCAGCAGCAGCCGGTGCCTGACTCTTGAGCTGTCGTTCTAGCAACACTTATCTTTTGAAATGGGAAGGTCTTATACTGGCCAGGATGGTCTCAGTCTCCTGGGCTGATGGGACTTCTTGTTTCTACCTCCTAAATAGTTGGTACTGTAGCCACAATCTACAAAGCTCCATGCTCAGCTTGAAAATTTTATAATTTATACTCAAATAATTTATATTTCATAAATTAGCCTAGAAATTTTATTTTGTCTTTGCACCAAACAAAACAAAAACTAAACCAAAATTCCCCTGAGCTAAGATTTTTGTATACCATGGTGAAGTGGTTGTACTTATAAAGGTATTCATAAAGTCATAATATACTGAAATGAATTATAGGAAATAGTTTCAATAATGGTATATCTTTTGTAACATAATATTGAAACACTATTAAAATTTTCTATTATAATGTAAAGAAAGTATTTTCTATCCTCTATGGGCAAAGAGAACATGCAAAATTTCCCCTCAAGTTTTTATGAACAAGTTTCAGAGCACACATGCTTAAGTGATGAAAAACTGGTCAACAGAAATAAATTTTTACTGCTACTTTCAAGATTATAATTATAGAAACTAATCTAAGCAAATTTATTAGTCATAAAACCTAAAGCCAACAAGTAGGAATGCCAACACAAGCTCCATGTGTGTGTGTTTCTTAGAGAAAGAACATGAAGTTGGGTGGGTAGGGCAATCGGGATGATGTGGGAGGAGTTAGAGGAGGGGAAATGTATATTCAAAATATATCATATGAAATTCTCAAAGAACAAAATGTTCTTTTTTTCATAAAGTGGGCAAACTACATACAGTGTACTGACAACAGAGAGCGAAGAACTTCAGAGTATTTCACATACACAGTTGCAAACACAGTGGCTTCTAATCAGGTCACTGAGACATTGACTGTTTCCATTTAAAAAGAGGTGAATGAATGAGAATTAAAAGTGTTTAAAAAACCTACTAAACAACTAAAATATGCCTTTCTTCCTCAAACACCTTTGTTTATTGAGGAAACAACTTTTGATTTGGTAAAAAAAAATTCCTGGGAAATTACTGATTCCAAAATGTTTAGTGGCACACAGTAAAGAGAGTAACAGTTGCTACTCATTAACGTTATACACAAAGCTAAACGAGTCTGAGCAAGGTTGGCTTATTATTTCCAAACAGAAATCAGCAATCTTATGTGATGTCACAGAATACATTACGTGACTACCCTTTCCACAAAATGGTTTCACGTATATTTAGCAAAGTTACATAGTTAATTTTAAAATGAAAAGTATCTATGCTAGTATCTTAAAATATTTTTATAATATTTTAAACATACAGACTTAAACATATGCAATACATACTTAAAAGCAACATGTGTGGTCAAAAAGAGCTGTGTCCATTCACCTCAATTTCAGATCACTGACTGAGCCTGAGCAATCTAATCTACATAAAGTGGCTGCCTCTGAGACTTACTATAAATTTACTGTAATGTTATTCAAATTTTAAATATGCTCATAATCTATAGCTTACAAACAAAATTAAACCTCAGTAAGCTACACTGACTAATTTGGTGAAGTATGAGAAATGAAGAGAAAGGACCCTGAAACAACACCTCAGTAGGAAAGTTCCTGAAGCTCAGACTGTTTGCATACTCATCAGTCACAAAGTCACTTTGTGACTTCTCATGAAGATTTCATAAGAGCAGTCAAAAGATGTAAATGGTAGTTAATCGATCTTGCGTTCCCTCTGAGCAAGGCGTTTAATTAAACAGCAGTCTCACTTCTTCAATGGCCCTTATTCAAGCATTAAGAGTTTAAAATGACTTGGTAAGAAAAATGATTTACAGGAAAAACTTTTGGGTTTATTTCTTACAAAATAGGATTATGCGTGTGCATGTGCTTGTGTGTCTGCACACGTGTGCGGGTGTGATGGCAGTGGTTCTTCCTTCTCTGCTCTCACATGCATACAACTCATTCTCACTTCTGACTGTGGTCCTCAGCCAGATACAGGCACTTGGAATAGCTGGATGTTGGACATCAGAGTGAGAAGAGAGAAATGCCTCGATTTCATCAGTATCAGTATGCCTCTCAGAGCAGCTTCCTTCAGACGGTCTGCCTATCTTTAGACAGCTTTAGTATAACCACTAGGTAAAATACTGTTATCTTCAGACTTTTACTATCTTTTTGATCAAATGGATGGAGAGCATTAACCAATAATCAAATGCAAATACTATTAAATACAATAATATTACAAATAACTACCACCTTGAGAAAAAAATTCTGCCCCCACAGCTTGAGAAAACTCAACTCTTCAAGGACTTTTTGTGGGTGTCAGTGTTCATTATCACTTGCTACAAAAAGAAGCTTTCTTGCTAAGGGTTTAGTAATGCTCCGTGGGTATTAACACTGTGTCACGAGGAGTCACTTCCACGCAAAATAAGTGTGTAGACGAACATGTTACCTTCTGAGTCAGGATCTCCAAACGGATTTAATTCTGCTACATCAGGTTCATCAAACGGATTTGTATTCACAGTGGCCAAGTCCTTTTGTGCTTCATCCAAAAAGTTAAGTGTGTTTATAAGTTCTGAAAATAAGTGCATGTGTAAAGTTCATCATAGTTATATGAATCAGGAGTTGGGTAATTCATGAACTATTTTAAAATATTAAAATTCACATTAATAATACCTGCAAATAATAAGACAATATTTTATGAGTGGCAGAATGCCATTTGAGTATTTTGTAGTACACCAAAATATGAAAATAAACCAAAAGGAACATGTTTTAACATGGGAATTCCATCAGGTAATGACCTATAGTAAAGAAACTTTCTATGTCAAATAAATTTGATTTTCAGTGCTGAAAAAAACTTGTAGGAAACTCTTTTAAACAGCTCAGACACAAATGCTCTTGAAGGCGCATGTCTAACAGTAAAGTGTAATAAAAAGGTAATGTGCCATGGGATTAACACTCAGGATGATTCAGAATAACTCACATCAATTTGCTAACAACCTTGTTAATGATAAGGTCTGTTATCTTGTTGCAAGATGGTGCACTACAAATTACCAAAGAGAACATTCAAGAAATTACACAAGGACAAAACTGACAGCTAAGCAGACAGAAGTCAGAATGTAGCAAGTCACAGTTAACACAGGCAATCAGAAGCAGAGGGAGGAAAGCTTTAGACCTTCAGAGGAACTGGCTGATTTAGCTGAGGGCATATTTGCTTGCTTTATGCAGTCGTCTTGATCTTCATCTAAGCTGCTCAGAGCATTCAACTGGTTTACAATTTCTGTAAACAGAAGCCAGTCAAGACAAATGTACGGTCAGGTCACTTAACTAAAGAGCTGTAGAAGCATGCTGTTATCAAAAACAGACAGGAGACATTTGATTAATAAAGAAATACATTCAGAAATGTTACTTTGATGAACTATAACGAAGGTAAATAACTGGGCATTATTGCAATCATTTTACTGGTTTTTTTAAGTAGTGGCATTTTTTATTAGTAGCATAATCACTATGTTAATAAACACAAAACAATAACAATAAATAACATAAGAGGTTTATACTGGATTTCAGCAACTCTTGGAAACAGAGCAATAAACATCTTTGGAGAGTCAGTCACTATTTGTCTTGCAAAATTCTTATGTAAACCAAAGACTTTAAGACTATATTTATCTGAATAAGTACATAGTAATTCTTCAGGTTCTACTATGCTAAAAATCGGCAAGAAAGGCTTAAGAGCAGAACGTAGCTACTACTGTTTCCTCCTAAAGCATACTACTTACCCATAAAAGACAGACTGAAGACAAGGATAAAGGAAAAAGCCACACAACTAATGTTGTATATGAAAGCTGTTTTTATACATGAATCATAAGCAAAATGAAAAGCCTTACGAAGGTCAGTTGTTTAGTCCTCAGCATTGCCAAAGCTTAGCCTAGGAAAATGTTATATATGAAGATATGGATCCAAACCAAATGGATCCAGACCATTTCGTGGCAAATAAAGAAAACAGAAATATACAGCAATTTAAACTTAGTATCAGTACAACTGTTCCTTAGCACTATAAATCTAAGTATGCAATAAATTTTATTTGAACCAAATCAAACAATCCATGTTTGTGATAGGATTGCATTCATGCATTTAATTTTTTGAACAAACATTTATTTGTCAGTCTGTGCCATGACTTTTACTTGGGACACAAGGATGAAAAGAAACAGGCATCGTATTGTCCCCAGAGAATTTATATTCTACAAAGACCTAATAAATATTGAAACATACTTAATAAGTGACTATCAAAATATTAAGCTTTCAGAAATGTTTTGTTCAAATTTATTTGAACAAAATTAATATCAAAAATCAATAAATTGGGCTGGAAAGATGGTTCAGCGGTTAAAAGCACTGGCTACTCTTCCAGAGGTCCTGAGTTCAATTCCCAGCAACTACGTGGTGGCTCACAACCATCTGTAGTAGGGTCTAATGCCCTCTTCGGTGTGTCTGAAGACAGCTACAGTGTACTCATATACACAAAATAAATGAATAATTAAAAATACACTAAAAAAAAAGCTTATGAATTTCCTATATCTGAACAAGAAAATAGATTTTCCATGAGTAAAATTATTTTGATAATAAAAGCAAACAATCAGAAACAGGGAATAAAGACAGATAAACCCAACTGAACTGTACAGCCATTCAGTGAAAGGTCAAACTTGTGTCTGACTAAAAATGTTTTATTTTATCATGGTAATTCTTAAAAACAAACTTTCTTGCATCTATTTCTTTTGTGGGGAGCAGGGTGTGCCTGGTAGAGGACAGGGAACAACTTGCATGAGGTGCCTCTCTTCTATCATTTGGGTCCCTGGAACTAAACCCAGAACCTGAGCCTCACAGCAAGCACCCATCCACACGAAACCATCTCTCCAGCCCTTACTATGCTCAAAAACATTAATGAAAATATTTTGAACACTATTTTACTTTTAATTATGTGTGTATCTGTGAGAGTATGTGCACAAGTCCACTGCAAAAAGCTGCAAATTCCAGAAGAAAGAATCAGAATCCTGAATCTGGAGTTATGTGGCTGGGAGCCTCCAGATATGGGTGTTAGGAATAAACCCAGACGCACCTGGAAAAGGAGTGTATGTTCTAAAGCACTGAGCCGTCTCTTCTCATGCGATGATGGCTTTAAATTTTGCTCTGGAACTCAGGTTCCAGCAAATTCAGAAGGAAAATGCATGCTTTCCTGCCTACTAATCATTGCAACTTAGTAATTTTTGTAAACTCATAACGAGTTGAAGAGTAGCAATGATGTCAAAGTGTTACTATTCATTACTTTTTTCTTACCAGTTGTGTAATTTTTAAAAATTTGCCAATGATGTATTTTTAACTTTGAAAAAATAAGCAATGAAATAACAAATAATGCTAACAGCTAAGATATATTAAGCAGCAAGAAAGGCTTTACATATATTATCAGTCAATCCTCACAAACAGCCTGTGGTGCTTTTGGTAATGTGTGTAGTTCGTCTTGTATTTTAGTATTGTTGATTTGCTTACAGTTCCAAGAGTATAATTACTTGATTGAAAATTTTGAAATAATACTTAAAGATATGGTTTTCTTTATATAGCTAGGAAATTTTAAACTATTATATGTTTTACAAATCTAATCTCAAAGAGTATAAATCCACCATGAATTAAGTATCTCATAAAACTGTAGGAAACTATTCAATCATGAGGCTTAGTTGTCAATTTCAAATATGAATATTGTTCTATAGACTTTTAGGTACAACACAGAGTATGTTCAAATATTATCAAAATGAATCTATGGAACTGTATTGTTTATACCATAATTGTCTGAATGTTTCTTCATTAACAACTCACAGCATTTTTTTCCTATTCTTTTCATTAATGACAAATTGTCCTGTCCTTCCTGGTCTCGTGAATCTACCCTAAGCTTACTTGAGTGCTGACTTTACTCCTAAAACTTTTACTTCCAGAATTGTTTCTCATACTAATGGAATGCAAAGGTAATCCTGATCATCTAGGCCAGCATTCCTTATGGGTGATACAAATAAATGTCAATCCAAAATTTTTACATCTTCAAAGCAGTAACACTTCTTTATTAAATGCCTGTGTCTGAGCTCGTGCTTGCTCTCATGGCTTCATGTTTTAGGGGACAGGCAGGTCAGTAGGTAGTACCGTGCTGCACGTATGGTGAACATTATGAAAAAGCTCACACTCAACATCCAGAGAAACAGAAGAGGCAGTCTCAGGTCAGAGAGCTTCCTGGAATTTTACTCACACGTGAGTTAATGCAAGACCAAAGATATTAGCTTATAAAACAAAAAAAGGAAATGAAGGCCATTCCATGAGCATAGAAGGAAGCAAAGGGAACTTGACATATTTGAGCAATCAGAGGTGTTTGGGGCTTATCCCAGGGATGGAGAATGCATCATGATGAGGCTGGCAAATGTTCAATCATGAGCGTTACCGTGACCCTCGTGGAAAGCATGCACTTCGCTCTGAGAGCTAAGGGCAGCCACTGCAAGATGCACACTTTACAAACTGTCTGGTGTGTTGGGTGACTGCAGAGGGCAGCCCTGGCACTGTGACCAGAGCTACTTAGCTGGGAACAATTTGTGAAACTTCCTATGAAAATACTTCAACTGGCAGTTGTTATGTGGGTCTGGAACCTGAAATACCTTGTTTTGTTACATAGTTATCCTTCCAAAAGTATTCTTTTGTTTCTTCTAAATTGCCTATAATTAATTTTTCTTTTTATAATTAGAAAAGCTAATGGATTTTTTTTAATGGAAGACGTTCCCAGGAAACATATCACTGTGGCCCAATATGTTTATGCTATACTTTATTGCCCACTTAAAAGCCTTATTTCACCAGGAATGTACATACTTAGAAAATATTAACGATGCTATGTAACAGGGCAGAAAAAAATTCTACCCTACACTGCTGCTCAAATTGAGCAATAAACTCACAGAGCAAAGCACTTGTAGTGTACAAACTGGTTTTGACTTGCTTCACACTGGTGCAACTAAGGGAAATGAAATTAGGGGCAGGCAATCGAAGTAAAGGGTCAAGTAATTTGTGACTTCTCTTTACTGTTAGAAGTTAAAAGAAGATAGAAATTGACCAACAGATTATCACACTGAAAAAGGGGGATGGGGAGGCAACATGAAGAGTGGGTGGCTGTTCCTTTTAAGAAACCCTGTTGGGTGAGTTAAAGGGAAAAGATAAACTGCCTAGAGCTAGCGCATAGCTGGGGATCTTGCATCACCCACATTCTTCTCTTAAGTATAACTAGATTTAGTAGCAATATATCTTATTTTAAGATAGTCCAAAATAGTAACACTTCAACTTCCTGGCAAAGATCAAGGTCAAAAAGATGTCACTTTCCTCAAAGGCTTCAGCCTGTAAATATTTGATTTATGGATACATCTAACAGGTTTAGTAATGCTATTTTCAAATAGCAACAAACTGTAATGGGAAAGGAAGGCAGAGGCTGCTTCAAGCAGGCAAGCAGCTATTGAATGTTCATTCTCCTTAAATCTTCACATTTGAACAGCACATCTTAAAAAC